GAGCCTCTGTACCAATATGTTGTTGCTGAAACTGCTTTTTGGGTTTAGGGTGTTCCTTATCCTTATCCTATATCCTTGCATATACTGACAAACATACATTTATTTGATACATTTTGTCACACTTTTGCTATTTCATATTCAAGAGGTAACAAGAAATGCAAAGAATGGGCACTGAAATTTTCATCAGGACTATAATAACCTCTCATAATATTATAATAAAACAGCTTAAGCAGTACTATTATTTAATAATTGTGAAATAATTGTAAATATGCATTGCAGTTATAGAATATTTTTATAAAACAGATTTATTTTCTAATGATAAACAGGGATATATAGTCTTAAAATATACTCATGTATACATCCTACCCATTTGAGAATGACAACAGCAAACAGAAATAAACCAACAAACCAAAGTGCATATACTGTAGATAATTTTATTCTGTGTGGTGCTATTCTGCCACACATCAAAGCACTTGCAGATTTATGCATGCTTCTCATTTCTGATTTACATGAACATTTTCCTATATTTACATTTGTCTTTTCATTTTGAAAATCTTCACATTGGTCTGTCTTTTAACCTTCCTTTTTCTTCACATTAATGCATTCGCTAAAATGTTGTTTAGTACCAGTACCAGTTTCTGTGTAGTGTCTCTTTTTTAAGTACTGTGGAAGAGTACAGAATGCATGGCTGGTATTCTTTGGACTGCATTTTCTCATCCATCGTAGTTGGAGCACATCCACAGACTGTGCCTTTATAATTTAACACATTATTTGCAGACCAGAAATGCATCTGAAAAGAATTGAAAAACTTACTGATACTCATAAATAAGTGCCAAGTATTGTATGAAAAAGAAGGGAGAAAAGCTTTTTGTACTATGGTTCTTAATGAATTAATAGAATTTAGATTTCAGATGAATGTCCGTTTATAGGTTAAAATGGATTCACAAATAACAAATTCTTGTTATTTGTTTGTTCCCATGGGATTTTGCCAAGATGCTAAAGTCTTACTGGCTAGGAAAATGTGTCTCTAAATTCTCTAAAATGTAAATTTGGTTCTGTATGTCTGCCCTGCAATTGACAGGCATTGCTGTCCAGGGAGTGGACCCCCCACCCCTTGCACCTTAGGCTTTGGGATGCCACACCTCATAAAGAATGAGAGACTTTCTTTTAATGATTGAATGGATAGTAACAGAGACAGCAAAAGGAACAGCATCAGCCTGAAAATGTTAAACACAAGAATAAAGAAGTACTTGTCTTAAATTTCTGCAGAAGCAGTCAATCAGTTCATGGTGAAGATCACTCAAGATCTTCCTTTAATTTCATTTTACTTTCATTTTGACCTGCTACTTGTATTGTATCTTATTGATGTACTGTATATTAATTATCTTTAAATTACTTTGTTCTGTGTTCTGTGACTATAAAGCTAAATTAGCCTCTAAAAGAGTTATGATTTCATGATACACAAAACAGACTGTGAGAATAATGTGAAAAAAACCCAACATGAAATATTAAAGCTCTTTACATCTTGGCACACGCACACATCAAAATGACATTTTCTGACGTTATTGGCAAGATGATGCCATGTAATGAGTGACTACAGTACCACATTACAGATGGGGCTTAAGTTCACAATGCTGGAGAACCACTGTCCTAAACAGAATACCACACAGTATTGAAAGGTTAGTAATATAAATCATTTTAATTCACTGGTCATTTGCGAAAAGTTTTTGTCTGCTACAGTATGTGTGTAGGTTTTTCTTTGATATACACAGAATAAATGCATGCTTTTGCACAAGACTCTCCAGAACTAATGATAAGTAGAAAACAAAACAGGAAAGCATTAAGAGTGTCAGTACTTGCTGGAAGAAATGACCTTGAAACAAGGATTTCATGAAGCTCTGTGGGATGGATTAACTTCACTGAAATACTGTAACTCAGAATGTGGTGGTCTAGCTGTTATTCTTCAACAATTACAAGAGCTGAATTAGAATGCATAAAACACATTGTGTAATCTTTGTAGAACAGGTCTCCTGTTAACTAAGACTAGTATATAATATTAGGTTTGTATGCAAAGCTCTATTTTTGTATCTGATACCTATCATAATGACGTGGATATTATAAGGTTCCCAGGATACAACTACCTAAAATCCCCTTTGATTAAATTGAATTATCCATGAACAATCTCCTACAGCTCTGCCAATGTTCCCTGGCAGTGGACCACAGTTTTTCTCTTTTTTTACATAACCTTCTTCACCTTCATTGCGAGAATCCTCTGGCTCTAGTCATAATTTAGTTTTATCAGATAATTTGTTGTTTTCTTTCAAAGAGATTTAAACTTGCTGCAGTCAAAACAAATATGAAGCCTGCATTAGATAACCCTAAACATTTTGTCATGTTGGTTTTTAATGCTAGTTCATAATTTTAGTTGTATCAATAGTGTATTGAAGATCACAAAGTGTTGACTCATTGACAGAATAGTTTTGTCAATATTTCCTATAGACAGCATTACATTCTATGAGGCTGAAAGTGTGTGGGGTTTACCTAAGAAACGTTTGGTCATGTTCAGCATTAAAAAAAAAAGTCTGTATCCTATTGCGCAATATTATAAAACAAAATATATATTGTATAATATTTCGAAGTGTATAAAATTCAATACACGTGTTACATTATTGCCAAATCCATGTATTAATGTTCTATTAGTATTACAATAATCTGTGGGGGAGGAAGTAGAATGAGGGTTCTGGATAACTAATCTAAAAAAAAATCAATAAATCCCCTGGACTTGTATCCTATAAGTTTCACTTTTTAAAATGATATATTTTACACTTGTTATGACAAGCCAATTAATTGATTTCTTTTGTTTTTTATCGGAAAGTTGAATTTGAACATGATGAGAATGTTCAGTTCATCTGGGTTATGCTGAATAAATAATGTTGTTTGTATTCAATTTAGCAAGATATAAGTATGAAGCGGTTTTATATCATTTTATGGGGCAAGTAGTAAAATTAACTAGTATGATCATGAAATCTATTCTTTGCGATTATAATTTACCTTATATTGTATAGATTTTCTATCCAATTTAAAACATTGTTGTCTTAACAAAAGGCTTCTCTGAAAATATGTAAAAGAATGTTGAACAATGAACAATGATACTTTTGCTACAGTACTATTCAAATTCACTCTAGAGCAAAACACTAGGGCAATCTAATAACAGAAATGCTGGCTACAAATAATGCCATGTGGCTGCATATGACCATGTTTATGCTCACTGCATAAAGAAAAATATGCTGAAGGTTAATAAGCCTTCCTACATTAGGACACTGTTCAGTGACGAGTACATGTATCTCAACTGGTCTTTGTATTCTAATAAGCCCATTTAATTTAATAATTATATGTAATCATATCTTGTTATTGTAATAGTTTACAAATTGTTTAATATAAAGCATGGATGCAAAAAATGAGAGATTAATATTTTGTTTAAACCATTTTCCATTTCTTGTCTTGGTAAAAGTTACATATATAAAAGATAAAAACAGATTTGATGGTCTATAATTCCACTCTTTATCTAAATGCATTGTTTATTATTAAGCATCATACAATATAAAGGTTAAAAATATATACTATTGCAAAGCTGAAAGTTACAATCCCAGCTTATGTAACTGACATTCAAACAAAACATAAATTATAATTAAATTTGGGAGAGATTTAAATCCCTCAATAGACCCAATCCACATACTGTAGTTTAAAAAGGTCGGTTCTTTTCTACTAAAACTACAGTATATAAATGTTAAACACAACCTGGAGGTCTGGGTTTTCAACAGCATCTCTTAGTGTCTCTCTGGTTATTTGATCAAGTAAAAAAACAACACTTTTGGTGTTGTTTGATGTTGATACAATATAACAATACTGAAAATAATTTTTTGTAATGAAAAAAACATGCTTTTTTTCAGAGTAAAGCTATTCAACTATGTTTAAAGAAAGTTTATAAAAAACATTTTGTTTGCATTTGTTTTTGCTTTAAAGGCAAAATCATTGTGAAAAGAAGTGTAGTTAATCTCCCTGTGCCACAGATCCATTTAATATCTTTCACTTTTGCCCCTGATCTCCTAAAAACCCAATTAAGCCTGAGTTCCTACCATGCCACCGTCTGGCCTGGAGCACCAAACCCCAGAGCTTCCAAACTTTCATTTAGCACTACACCACTGCTTTTTGGGGATTCCACACTAGTGTGAACTCTGCCACTAAGATATACTATCAGACATCTTTCTATAGCTGTTACACATGTGTGCGATGTTCACCCTTGTTAAACAGCAGTAAATAGTTTGCCAGCTACTGCTTCTGTTTGCACTGTTTTATTGCTCAGCAAGTAGTCATCTGTCTTGAAAAACATTACACATGGTGAGACTTGTTTCCATAGAAACTGTTAACTCTTCCACTCACACATGAGGCTGCATAAGAAATTCTTTATCTTCTTGCAAATACCCAAAATAACACATAGATTCAATAACATATCAAAATTCAGATGTATTTAATAGGTGTCTTTAACAATTAATGTTTAAACATTTCATTATTATGAAATGTTAAAGCATTTTATTATTAGTGATTATTAATCACTTCTGAGCCATGCTCAAAGGACAAGCTGTCTAACACACGTCCTTGTGACACAGAATAATCAGATTAAACAATCCATTTTTGGACTTTAGAAATATGAAGTTTCAGTACTTATGCTGGTTGCAATATATTTTGCTCATCACCCAGTTTAGCTACATTTTTGGTTATTTTGAATACTTTTATTTGAGAAAATAAAATCAGATTTCTAAATGACCAACATGACTTTTATGAATTTGAGTTAATAAATAAGCATCACATAATTCAAACTATTGTATTAGTTTCAATATGTATGTTCAAACAGTTTCTTCACATTAGTAGGACTAGAAATAGCAGTAGTGTTAGTACAAATATATGTTTTTGAACCATAATTAAAAGTATTTTCCTCTTACCTATGTCTGAGTTGCAGTAGGCATCCTGTGGATGAGACAGAGCACATGAACAAGCCTCTGTAAATGGATTCATCAGGAGACTGCTGAGAACAAACAGCACGCTAAGCAACGGGCAGACAAGCAGTGACATTCTCTCAGAAGTTTGAATTTTATAAGCCCTCTTTGAAAATTTTATGAAACTTTGACTCGCAAGCTCAAGTTTTCTTTTGCCGTTACTGCTCTATACCTCCTCTCTGCTCACAGTTGCAGGCAAACGCTCTCTGTCTCACTGCTGCTCTCCCTGTGAATTACAAATTAGATATAGTGTTCTAGACACAAACGCCACCCATACCACTTCATCCCAGCCCATTCCAGGACTGACCAATCAGGAAGCACAATACTTGCATTTAAACGACGGCAGTGTAAGATCTGATAAGTCACTTTACAAAGCCTGACCTTTTTTTTATTTCCTCAGGAAAACTGCTCTTTAACCAGGGATAGTGCCTCAACAATTCAGGAAACTCTGTGAAGATTAGCAAGGGTAGTGTTCTAATGTGATGTAATGGATGTTGTAGGATGTATTATTCTGAAAAATTAGTAACCATAGGAGAAAGCAAGTAAATTCAAATTAATGTGAACAATTAACCTAAAAGATAACTAAAGTACTTGTAATTGCTTTCTAAGAGGCTCTGGAATTTTCCATAGTCTTTATTGAATACACAGACCAAGATGAATATTATGCTTTGAGTATGCTTTCTACTTACTGTACAATTAAATGATACCCAACTATCTGAACAAGGAATATGGCTTTAAAAACATTAAGTTAATTAAGAAGGCTGTAAATTAATCTGACATCAGTGTCTTTTTAAAAAAAAATATTAAAATAGCCAGAATGTGTCACTGTTTCACTTTCATACTTTTAAGTAAAATATGAAATAGCTCAAGTATTTTTTCCACTGTTGAGTTCAAGAACATAACTTGTTTTATTCTCCAAAGATGGAATCAAGTTAGGAAGATAGTGACAGTCATTAAAGCAAGCAGACTTAAACACAATTAAAATATTTTGTCAACATAGAAAGACATTATTTTAAACATGGTAGGTACTCTGCAACGCTTAATTTTATACAGCATAATACACATAAGAACATAAAAAGGAACAAATGAGAGGGATTCGGCCCATTCAGTTGATCATTTAGTAGTTAGTAGTTACATTTAAAAAAATGTAATAATGAAAAATATTTGTATATATTATTTCCTTTGTGTGTTAGTAGTGTTTCTGTCTTTTTGTGTAGTAAACACCTTTTGTCTCTACTTCATTATATAATAGTCCTACTACATGTTTATTATGGCTCACAAGCATATTTTGTAAATCTGTTATTATTTTTCCCATTCTTTGATGCAAGCAACTTTGAGATTAGTTTTCCTCTTTATAAATTCTGTTTTTTATATGACTGCTTCAGATCAGTGCCGTGCTTAGTGGTGAACCTACATTCAGTGAGTCAGTGATCATAGGATGACATATTCATTCTTAACAACATTTAGTCTTTCCTCTGTCATGCAAATACTTCCTGGAAAAGAAAAAAAAACCCTAAAGGACAAAATGGAACACTAAACAATCATTTGTCTACATGTAAGTATTAGTTCCAGCTTTGAATAATTTGTAAAATACTGTGAAAGGACATACTGTACTGTATCAAGAATGTCTTGGTTCATTTTATTATATTCTCAATTTTATGCACTTACACTGTTATGACCATGGTTGTTCTGGGTTCATACTATTCTCTTATGAAATAATTTTCCAGATTTTGATAAAAGGATTAAAGTTTAATAGTTTCTCATATAGTACTATCTTTTCATTTTGACAAAAATACTTAACAAACAAGATTATATTATCTTTGCAATTTTTTTAATATTTATGGTTTCAGTACCTTCACAATCAAAGATACTTAATTTACTGCGACTAAAGCAGGTCTTTGCACAGATTGTATAAATATGTTTGGTAATAACAGAATAATAGCAAGTTTTTACATCCCAAAAAAGTAAAAGAATTTAAAAATATGTATAATGTATTTACACTTTTGCCTGATTTGGAAAATAGTGATGATTGTGTGTTTTATAGTTCCAGATGAAGTAAAACATGAAGCCTGTGTGTGTTATGACCATCTAATTTAACTGTTGCCTGGTTTTATATTGTGTGAAGCCTCATTGAAAACATTCCTTATTTTGTCACATACGTCAGCCTGACTCTCTGGCAATAAGGAAAGTCCTGTTACCAATAATATTACCTTTCATATGACTAATTTATAATATGCAATATTGCAGCAGGATGATACCAGCCTACATACTGCATACCCTAGTAGATGTGCTGTTTGTACAAGGAAAATGTCTAGTTCATGAGATGGCCCAGTCTTCGACTTCCAGTCAAATCAGATCACCTATTTTTTTGGTCTTTATTAGTTGTTAATTTTAACTCACCAGTAAAACATTCAGTACTCCACTCTCAAGAACTGGAGTTACCCATCCATGATCTTGATTCTGTAAAGGAATGACAATTCTTCCTTTGACGTTTATTGCTGTTTTCCTGTTAATATGACAGTGAGATGTTCGTCATTTTAGCTTCAGTCACCTCTGAATGCTGAAAGGCAACCATGTTTCCTAAGTGTCAGTACATAGGACCGCTTGTAGGTAATTTCAATAAACTAAGGGGTAGCTATAAAACTGATTGAAGAGACTTTCTGGTTCAGTGCATATCACTTCGTGGTACTACATACACAAAAAACATCTTTCAAGTGCCACATTGACCTCATTACGACAAGAAAAGTGGTATTGGGCAGCTGCCCTGACCTTAATTAAATGATTGATGTGACTGGACTGAAATGCTGTGTTTGTAGAACAACTTATTAATTACTTATTAAGTAATTAAGACAACTGAAAAACACCTTTAAGTAGGTCATTTTATTTCTGAAAGCCTCCTGATTAGGATCATTCATATCTTTAAATTATCTTTAGACCGATTCCTAGTGCTTTTACTTATATTCATGAGTTCTATGTTCATAATTTTACCTGTTTGTGGAAAAATATTATTAACCACTTTATTCACATTTGAGGACTAAAGTTGTCTATTGAGCAGCTGTGCAGTAGGAGTGTCAAGGCGAGTCTTCATCTTGTGGATCTGCTTAACCTTTTTTACATCAGTCTCTGTAGTAAAGGCATAGTTTAGTTAACAAAGAGTTAACATGTTTACAGTGTATGTAGAAGTGCATCATGGATTATAATAATAATTGCTTACACTTATATAGCGCTTTTCTGGACACTCCACTCAAAGCGCGTATGGGGTAATGGGGACTCCCCTCCACCACCACCAATGTGCAGCCCCACCTGGATGATGCAACGGCAGCCATAGTGCACCAGAACGCTCACCACACATCAGCTATTAGTGGGGAGGAGAACAGAGTAATGAAGCCAGTTCATAGATGGTGATTATTAGTAAGCTAAGGGCTAATGGGAAATTTGGCCAGGACGCCAGGGTTATACCCCTACTCTTTTCATGAAACGATTTTTAATTACGACACAGAGTCAGGACCTTGGTTTATGTCTCATCCGAAGGACGGCGCCTTTTTACACTACAGTGTCCCCATCACTATACTGGGGCATCAGGACCCACATAGACCGCATGGTAAGCACCCCTACTGGCTCCACTAACGCCTCTTCCATCAGTTTTTCCCAGGAGGTCTCCCATCCAGGTACTGACCAGACCTTAGCTTCAGTGGGTTGGCAGTTGTGAGTTGTAGGGAGTATGGCTGCTGGTTGTGCTTTAGTCATTCATTTTCCATCAGGAAAGTGTTAGATTTACAATTTGTGTAGACCTGTTATGTGAATAATGCCTGTATGTGAGAGTTGTATAACACTGTGTTGTGTAAGGAGTATGTGAGAAATAAAAAATAACAGCAAAAAAAAACTCAATTGTACCCTTTCTTATCAAGGTTTCAAAGGATAAGAAAATAAATTAGAAAAAAGAGACTTAGACAAACTACATGAGCAGCGGATTGATCTGTTTGAGTGGGGAGTGAGTACACTTAATTTACTTTCCAGCCTGTTATAAACTTTATTACAGTACTGTAGTGCTGCATTTATACTAGCAATAAAACCATCATGTAGAAAGTAAAGAAAATGCACTCAGCTAAGAATGGAAAAGTCTAACTGTAATACAGGGTCGTCTGTAATATTATTACAGTGATCTAATTTATTTGCTTGTACTGTACATGCAATAACTTGAATAAATCCTGCATTTTCAAAGTCACGATTCTCAGAGACATCAAAGTACCTAACCCTCACAAATACTAAGGTTTTACTGTAGTCTGTTTTTTAAATTTGCTGTTTACATGCCCACACCCTTAAATGTGTATTATTCTAAGTATTTGTTCTTAAAACCTGCACTCTCACATAGAGAAATGGGCCGCTTATATTTGACTCCAAAACAGGTAATCCTTTCACAATACCTTATTGACTTTGAATACATGACCATTAAACAGATAAAACAATCTCTTGTTTTACATGGATTATTGTAATCTAAATTGTGGCAAGACTGAGGCTTTCAATATCAAAAAGGCAAAGGCTTCCAATAAGAAATTTGCAAATTTTGTGGCTTCACTGTTGTTGTTAATAGAGATGCAATCAAACTTTGATGGAAATGCGAAACACCCATGTTACATTTGACCATATTTTCTCATTTGAAGCACATTTTACATCTGGGACAGTGGTGTTTCTCTCACCTGCATAATTTAGTTCACCTAAGAGCTTCATTGGCTTATTTCCTTTTAAAATGTTGGCACAGTTGTTCATTTCAGACTACTGTAATACTTTACTCATCGGTGTATCTTCCACAGTACTAAATGGGTTTTAGTAAATCCTGAATTTGGCAATTCTAACTAAAATAATCTGCACGAGTGCATACCTCCTGTTCTCTGTAAATTACACTGGCAGCCAGTTAAATTGGCAATTTTGACATTAAGGCACTGAACAGTCTAGCTCAGGGTTATTTTAAGGATTTATTACCAGATTAGGTTAAAATCTTAATATGATATTTGATTATGCAGGCAGCACCATAGGAGATTGAGCATTTTTATGTGTGTAGAACAACATCTGTCGAATTTATTACTCAATTAAAATCTATTAGAAACACTCCAACTCACTAAATGTGTTTCACTATATATCATAATACATAATTTAAAGGAACAAAAGAAGATTATTTCCAAGCCAAAATGTATAATGCAGAAAAATACAGTATCTTGCATTTATTGTCAGCTTCACAGTCAAAATGTTGCTCTTTTTTCTACTTTGCAGAAAGGGATT